TGTCTCAAAAGGCAAAAGACAAGCAAAAGTAAGTACAGAAGGAGACGGGCAAATCCAGGACGTTGTGTGCTCACCCTTGCCTCCAATCACGAACGCAGCTGGCTCGAATCAACATCGATAGCTATTACTCGAACCTGCATCACGAAAATAGATGCAGAGTGGAATCAACGTCGGTAGCTAGTACTCGGACCTGCATCCCGAAAATAGATGCAGAGTGTAGTATGAGTACCAAATCAACAGGTACCCAGTAGGCGTCAGGACGACTGAGCAAGATAAGCAAAAGTGAACTGAAATGCAAATAAAGGGTCACAATCAAGGGCAAAAGAGTAGTAAATGTGGGTATGTACACGAGCGTACAGGCAACAAAGACAAGGAATCTAACTAACTCCACCGGGCTCCCATAAACCCGACGGGTACGCTCGTGCACAATTAAAGAAACCACCTGCACGGACCCCCATAAGCCCGGCAGATGCACCGGTGGTTGAAGTAAAATAATGGAGCTATAAGGTCTACCACAATATTAACAATTTTCGTATTTTAATTGAACCATTCCCAATTATACTCCAAGATCTCATTACGTCCCGGACTTTAATCGGAACATCTCCAACCTCCAAAACCTCAACCTACATATGAGAGTAATCAGGACTAAACTGACGCTTCAGTAAGGAATTAGGAATGCACCACGTGCAAGCTGGACCACAGACTCGAACCGGGTACTATAGCTAATGAGTCAACCTATATCGGCTGGACCACGGACTCGAAACAGGTGCTGTAGCCAAAGGTCAGGCATGGGTGGGCTGGACCACGGACTCTAACCGGGTACTGTAGCCAAAATCAGATCACAGGTAAGCTGGACCACAGACTCTAACCGGGTACTGTAGAGAGTAGAAAAGTAGGGCATTATGGATACAAGGCAACAATTAAAATCATTAATAAGTCTTGACATACGACTTGGCAGCCCCTTGATCAGGGCATTATGGATACAAGGTCATAAGCTGAGTTACCGCCTAGCTAAGGCTCAGAATTTTAGACTCAAGTCTGCTATATCAGTCTACAAGGAGCTGAACTCCCGAAACGACGTCGGAAAAAGTTCTACTACCTAACGGCATCCGAAACCTCGAAAGTCTATGGCACTCAATCTCACGAGGGAGAAGCCATAGCCTACCTGAAAGCCGATCATGCGTGCTCCAACTCACGGTACCAGAGCTTTTCCCCTCTGAACGGTCTCCAAATGCTTCCCCACTGTCAAAAGGTTAATCACCTCGTCATTACGAATATGTTGACACCAAAATTATATTTTTTGGAGACGGACCCAAAATTGGGTCTAAAACGGGATTTTGGGACCCACAGTTGGAATGCCGAAAAGGAATCCGTGAAAATGACCCAAATACCTTACTAAACTAATACCCCAAAATTTAGCACAAAAAGATGCCTAAAACATAGAAAATCAGTCCCAACAATTAAAATCATTAATAAGTCTTGACTTACGACTTGGCAGCACCTTGATCACCAATTTATGGAAAAACGAGACCCTTCCAACCCAAACAGATTATACCACGTCAATCCTTGCAAAAAACTCTACAAGTTAGCCTCAAGAATGACTCAAAACGGACATAAGATGATCAAGATCTAACCTTTCAAAGTTCAACAACAATTCATTCCGAAAAATCACTCTGGCAGTAGCTAAATTCGATTCCTTACCTCAAACGATGCCTCCCCTCGCGTTTCTGAGTTGACCTCTAGATTCCCCACGAAATTATCTTGAAATTAGCCTTTTGAATCACCTAATTTGAGCTTAAAATGGAGGAGATATCTATGTTTGAAGATGAGGGGAAAAAAATGGACGAAAATTGTTCTTAAATCTGGAAATTTTCAACAACGCTGCCACATGGCGTAGCGTGGCTCTGCCACGTCACCACCGCGTTAGAATTCAACAACTCTTCAAACTTAAATTTCGATTATCCGGACTTGTTCGGAATCGTAAAAAAACAAACCATATATGGAATCTGATTGGAAATGATATTTCGGACTCAAAGGTGAAGTGGGAATTTTCATTGGAGATCGCTTCGATGAAAAGTGGGTCCCACACCCAGTATCGTTTTGAGACAGATTCCACAACGGTCACCTAAAGCCTCGGGAAGTGAACAAAGGGTCGTTCTAGACAAAAATCGATATTCCGAAGCTAACCTAGGTATCAGAATTTTCATCTGAGCACGTCTTCCAAGAAAGGTTGACCAAAGTCAAATTTTCAAGTTATAAAATCTCCAAAACAGGGAAAACGGGGCCTAAAACCCAAACGAACGACCAGGCGATCGAACAGTCAGTGCCAGCAAGTCATAAATGACCTGGGGTCGCTACAGGAACGCTCTAAACGATGGAATGAATACTTTAATTTAAAATGACCTGGAGGGTCATTACAATATCCACTACTAAAAAAACTTTCGTCCGCGAAAGTAATAGTCAAGAAGTACCTTGGAATGAATGCTTTAATTTAAAAATGACCTGGAGGGTCATTACAATATCCACTACTAAAAGAACTTTCGTCCGCGAAAGTAAGAGTCAAGAAGTACCTGAAGGCTCAAACAAGCTGGGGAACTGTGCCCGCATCTCATGCTCGGTCTCCCAGGTAGCCTCCTCAACTGGACGATGTCTCCAATGGACCTCAATCACAGGAATGGCTCTGGAACGCAACCGTCTGACATTTCTGGCCAAAATAGCAACTGGCTCCTCAATGTATCTCAAACTATCATCCAAGTCAACTGCATCATACTGAATTACATGGGACTCATCTGGAACATATCGGCGCAACATCGAAAAATGAAAAACTGGGTGAATAGCGGAAAAGGCCGGGGGCAAAGCGAACTCATATGTGAGACACATGGAGGAATACCGTCCTCAATATCTCAAAAGGACCTATATACCTGGGGCTAAGCTTGCCCCGCCTCCCAAATCTCATTACACCCTTCATGGGAGACATACGGATGAATACTCTATCACCAACAACAAATTTCATCTGTCGACGCCTACGGTCTGCATAACTCTGATGTCTACTCTGGGCTGTCCTGAGCCTATCTTGAATCACCCTCACATGATCTAAAGCCTCTCGCATCAACTCTGTACCATACGACCTGGGCTCTGTAGACTCAAACCAACTAACTGGAGAGCGACAACGCCTACCATGTAAGGCCTGGAATGGGGCCATCTAAATACTCGAGTGGTAGCTATTGTTGTACGCAAACTCTGCTAAGGACTGGATGTCTAAAGCTAATGGTTTCTCCGTAGTAGAAAGAAATGCTAGACTACCCATACTCACTGCCTTCCGACTCAAGGCGTCCGCTAGTACATTCGCCTTGCCCAGATAGTAGAGAATAGAGAGGTCATAGTCCTTCAGGAGCTCAATCCAGCGGCGCTGTCTCGAATTAAGATCCCTCTGGTTCATAATGTACTGAAGGCTCCTGTGATCAGTATAGATCTAGCATCGAACTCTATACAGGTAATAATTCCAAATCTTAAGGGCAAAAACTACCGCCGCGAACTCTAAGTCATGAGTGGGGTAGTTGCATTCGTGTGGCTTAAGCTGCCTCGACGCATAAGCAATAACGCGGCCCTGCTGCATCAGTACACAACCCAAACCAATGCCGGACGCGTCACAATAAACAGTAAACCCCTCACCCCCAACTGGAAGAGTCAATATAGGAACGGTGGTAAGCAACTCCTTAAGCCTCAGAAAGCTCCTCTCACACTCCTCCGACCACACAAACGAAACATCCTGGCGAGTCAACCGAGTCAAAGGCGCTGCAATAGTAGAAAATCCCTCAACAAAACACCTGTTGTAGCCTGCCAATCCGACGAAGCTACTAATCTCAGTCACAGAGGTGGGCCTGGCCCAATTACGAATGGCCTCAATCTTAGCGAGATCTACCATAATGTCATCCTTAGACACCACGTGCCCCAAGAATGCTACGGACTCAAGTTAAAACTCACACTTTGAGAACTTGGCATAAAGTCGCTGGCCTCTCAAAGTCTGGAGCACTATCCTCAAATGCTGCTCATGCTCCTCCCGGCTACGCGAGTATACTAGAATGCCAACTATGAAGACTATGACAAACGAATCCAAGTACGACCTAAACACCCTAGTCATCAAGTCCATGAACGCGGCAGAGGTGTTAGTCAACCCAAAAGGCATCACTAGGAACTCATAGTGGCCGTAACGAGTCCTAAATGCAGTTTTAGGGACGTCCGCTGCCCTAATACTCAACTGGTGATAGCCGGATCTTAAATCAATCTTAGAAAATACCACGGCACCCTGAAGTTGGTCAAATAGATAATCAATCCTAGGCATGGGGAAACGGTTCTTCACCGTCACCTTGTTCAGTGCCCGGCTCTACTTCAATAGGAAATTCAATGGCACGATCAGGAGGGAAACCAAGCAGATCGGCAGGAAACACATCTGTAAACTTTCGAACAATAGGTACCGAATCAACGGTAGGACCTTCCTTACGAACATCTCTAACATAAGCTAAATAAGCCAAACACCCGCTAGCCATCAACCTCTGGGCCCGAACAAATGATATCATCCCAACTAGCGTGCGACTACAAGAGCCCCGCCACACCACTGGAGGAATTCCAGGCACGACTAAAGTAACGGTCTTGGCATAGCAATCCAAGACCGCACGGTGGGGGGATAACCAAACCATACCCAAAATCAAATCAAAATCCACCATGTCAAGCAAAATGAGATCAACCCTAGTGTCTCGCATCTGAATAGTCACCACACAGGATCTAAATACCTGATCCACTACTAAAGAATCACCTACCGGGGTCGAAAAACGCAACGGCTCAACCAATAGCTTTAGGCTCATACTCAATCGAGGAGCACAATAAATAGATATATAAGAATAAGTAGAGCCTGGATCAATTAAGGTGGATGCGGGTTGATGGCATAATAACACTGTACCTGTGATCACATCGTCCGAGGTCTCAGCATCTGCTTTAGCTGGAGCTGCATAAAAGTGGGCCTGGGCTCCACTATCCTGTGCATCCGCTCTGCCCCCTAACCTGCCTCCTCGGGGACAACCCCTTATACCCTGGTGACCACCCTTGCGGTCCTGTCCCTGGCCTCCGCCTCTAGCTGGAGGTGCTGGCGTATGCCTAGCTGCTTGTGGAGCGGGTAAGGCTAACCTGCGAAGGGGACACTCGTGGGCCCAATGATCTAACTCCCCACACTCATAGCACCCCTGGGACTGTCGACTGAGAGCTGGAGGTCGGCTACCCCGGCCAGAAGAGCCCATCTAAGAACTATCTCGGCCCGGACTAGGACAGGCACTAAAACCAATATGGCAGTGCCGATCACCCTCCGATGCCTGGATAGAGGCCTGGAAGGGGCGACAAGACTGACCCGACTGAAACCTCTGCTGAGATCTATCATAAGTCTCTCGGGGTCTGAAACGGCGCCTATCATGACTATCCTCCTGTCTAGCTCTCTTGTCGTTGCCCCTTGGGCCAGATTCCACAACGGGCACCTAAAGCCTCGGGAAGTGAACAAAGGGTCGTTCAAGACAAAAATCGATATTCCGAAGCTAACCAAGCTGTCAGAATTTTCATCTGAGCACGTCTTCCAAGAAGGTTGACCAAAGTCAAATTTTCAAGTTATAAAATCTCCAAAACAGGGTAAACGGGCCTAAAACCCAAACGAACGACCACGCGATCGAACAGTCAGTGCTAGCAAGTCATAAATGACCTGGGGTCGTTACAGGAACGCTCTAATAAGCCGGGGAACTGCGCCCGCATCTCATGCTCAGTCTCCTAGGTAGCCTCCTAAACTAGATGATGTCTCCAATGGATCTCAACAACAGGAATGGCTCTGGAACACAACCGTCTGACATCTCTGGCCAAAATAGCAACTGGCTCCTCAATGTATCTCAAACTGTCATCGAAGTCAACTGCATCATACTGAATCACATGGAGCCTTCATGACTCATATACGACCTCTGTAACATATCGGTGCAACATCGAAACATGAAAAACTGGGTGAATAGCTGAAGAGGCCGGGGGCAAAGCTAACTCATATACGACCTCTACAAGTGTCCTCAATATCTCAAAAGGACCTATATACCTGGGGCTAAGCTTGCCCACCTCCCAAATCTCATTACACCCTTCATGGGCGACACACGGAGGAATACTCTATCACCACAGCAAATTCAACAGTCGACGCCTACGGTCTGCATAACTCTGATGTCTACTCTGGGCTGTCCTGAGCCTATCTTGAATCACCCTCACATGATCAAAAGCCTCTCGCATCAAGTCTGTACCATGCGTCGTGGGCTCTGTAGACTCAAACCAACCAACTGGAGAGCGACAACGCCTACCATGTAAGGCCTCGAATGGGACCATCTAAATACTCGAGTTGGTAGCTGTTGTTGTACGCAGACTCTGCCAAAGGCAAATACTGGTCCCACTGACCCCCAAAATCCATAACACAAGCCCGTAACATGTCCTCAAGAACCTGAATTGTGCGCTCCGACTGACCATCAGTCTGCGGGTGGAAAGCTGTACTAAGGTCAACACGGGTACCCAACTCATCCTGGAAAAGTCCTCAAGAAGCTAGATGTGAACTGTGGGCCCCGGTCTGAGATGATGGAAACACACACACCATGAAGACGAACCACCTCTTGAATGTAGATACGGGCTAACCTCTCAACACTGTAGGAAGTATGGACAGGAATGAAGTTTGCTGACTTGGTCAATCTATCCACGATGACCCAAATACTATCAAGACCCCGGGAAGTGCGGGGTAATCCTGCAACGAAGTCCATGGTGATCCTCTCCCATTTCCACTCAGGAATGGGTAATCTCTGAAGCTCTCCACCAGGCCTTAAATGCTCGGCCTTAACCTGCTGACAACTCAAGCAACGCGATACATAATCCGCAATATCTCTCCTCATGCCGCTCCACCAGTAGTGCTGTCTCAAGTCCTGATACATCTTAGCTGTGGCCGGATGAATAAAATATTTGGACTCATGGGCCTCGGTAAAAATCATCTGAATCAAACCCCCAAATCTTGGAACACAAAGTCCATCACCAAATCTTAAAACCCCATCTAAATCTAAGGTAGCCAGGTTGGTGTCACCTCCCAAAACTCGATCTCCAAGTGCCACTAAGTCCTCATCCTCAAACTGACGGCTGCGAATCCGATCCAACAGAGATGACTGAGCGTCCACATAAGCCAGTACACACCGGGAATTAAAGATATCAAGTCGTATCATCCAGTTAGCTAAGGACTGGATGTCCAAAGCTAATGGTCGCTCCGTAGTAGAAAGAAAGGCTAGACTACCCATACTCACTGCCTTCCGACTCAAGGCGTCCGCTAGTACATTCGCCTTGCCCAAATGGTAGAGAATAGAGAGGTCATAGTCCTTCAGGAGCTCAATCCAGCGACGCTGTCTCGAATTAAGATCCCTCTAGCTCATAATGTACTGAAGGCTCCTGTGATCAGTATAGATCTCGCATCGAACTTTATACAGGTAATGCCTCCGAATCTTAAGCGCAAAAACTACTGCCGCCAACTCTAAGTCATGAGTGGGGTAGTTGCGCTCGTGCGGCTTAAGCTGCCTCAACGCATCAGCAATAATGCGGCCATGTTGCATCAGTACACAACCCAAACCAATGCCGGATGCGTCACAATAAACTGTAAACCCCTCGCCCTCAACTGGAAGAGTCAATATAGAAGCGGTGGTAAGCAACCCCTTAAGCCTCAGAAAGCTCCTCCCACACTCCTCCGACCAGACAAACGGAACATCCTGGCGAGTCAACCGAATCAAAGGAGTAGCTATAGTAGAAAATCCCTCAACAAAACACCTGTAGT